ATTTTACGACTGGTAGAATGCTCATGGAAGGGTGAAAACCAGAATTTTTGAAACAGACTGGGAGAGAGGTTATTGTCTGGGATATTGGAGAGGCAATTTTTATATCAGGGTAAGCATCAGCCTCAGTAATTTTTAAGGTCCCTCCTCATATTATTATCCTATTCTTTTTTTAAAAGATTTTATTTATTTCTAGAGAAAGGGGAAAGGAGGGAGGAAGAGAGGGAGAAAAACATGTGTGGTTGCCTGTCACATGTTCCCAACCAGGGACCTGGCCCTCAACCCAGGCGTGTGCCCTGACTGGGAATTGAACCAGTGACCCTTTGGTTTGCAGGCCGGTGCTCAATCCCAGTGAGCTACACCCTCTAGAGCCACAATCCTATTTCTTTGTAAAAAATTCTCCCAGTGACTTTAGAAAGTATGGCCTGGTGGTTTATTTGATTCTCTACACGTTTTATGTGTCTTACTACAGTGCTTTTACGTCACCAGGATGCATTTCTCCATGAGCGGTTTTAGTTGGTGGTATAGTAGGAAAGGAAAAATAAATCACCACAAGAAGTGGTTTGATGGGTGGGTAGGCTGGGTGTTCCTCTCCTCACAGCTCTGGTTTGGGGAGCTGTGGGTGCTGTTGGTAGGACTCTGGGTTTCAAGCCTGCTGCACGTGAACCAGGCGGCTGTTACAAGCTCTATGACCCTGAGCCCGTTACTTAATCATTGTTTGCCTTACTGTTCTTATTCTTTCAATGTCTTATGATGTTGTCACGATGAGATAGCAGTGAGTGGGGTGCCAGCCTATGATGGAGGAAGAGCTCAGTAAATGTTAGCTATTGTTAACTGTGTCAGCTTTGAGTGTGGTGGGACCAGTGAGGGGCTTGGGAACCCCAGGGCAGGCAGCATTGGACTTGAGGTGTACCATGCCAGGGCAGTCTTGGTACATAGGACACTGGAACTGAGTCTTAGAGAAGAGCTCATGGAGAAGAGTGGGATGGGAGGCAGGAAGGGGATTTTTGTTGGGCAGATAGCCACACTGACTGCTGTGGTGTGTGCCAAGTGCCCAGGAATCTAGACTTTCGAGGAAGAGAAGGCACCATTGGCCTGGGATGGTTCCAGAGTGTTTCACTGAAAAAATGGTCCACGAAGTCAGTGTAGCTCTTAAAAAGCCAAGAGAAGGAAGGGTGTAGAACACCAGAAAATGACACGGGTATAAGAGCTCGTGAAATACCTTTTCCACTCCTCAGGCCCTGCCTAGCAGCTTGTTACTCATCCTTCCAGCTCTGTAGAGTTGGTCCATGTTGGCATTTTTAACTACAAACATTAACGGAGCATCTGTAATGTGCTGGGCCCTGGGAATGTAAATATGAGTAAGGTTTGCTCTAGTGGGAGTTCTTCAAGCTGCAGCTGATGAATTCTGATGTTGTGGTTCAGTAGGATTGGGCTGGGGCCCAGGCTTCTGCCCTTTTCCATAACCACTGATGCAGTTCTGATGCCCCATCTTGGTGCAGAACTCCTGTCGTGAGCAGGTTTCGCCACTGTCTCTGTCCTCTAACCACCATTTCCCTCAGTTCCTCGTCCTCTCAGTTGGCTCTGCTCATATACAAATGGTTGGATGGGTTGGATGGTTGGGGTGCAGGTGACAACTTGTCCGGTTTGGGGACAAAAGGTGAACAAATTGGCATATTAACAGAAGGTAGATTATGCTTCAAAAGAAGGGTAGAACAAAACTCTCTGTCATAATAAGAACTGGCCAGCAGTGGGAAGTCTGCCCCATGGAGTAAGGACTTTTCCCTTGAGAGGAGGGTTCAGTGACAGCTGCGGCTCCCCCTCTCATGTTAGATGTTACTAACATCTCGGAGGTGCCGCAGGGAGAGCCTTCCCTGGGTGGGCTAGACCTGCCAGTGCTCGGCTGTGGTTGTGGGAGGGGGAACTTATTACAGTTCATCTTGTCAAATTTCCGTATCATTCTTCTTCCACTTTTTATCCCATTTCATCTTCTGGATTCTTAATAGCTCCTGCCGTGTCTTTCAGAAGTGCTCGGAACGCTAAGTGTCCGCCTACTGAACTTGGGCAATGCAAGTAGCAAGCAATTGGTCTGTGTAGTTTGCTGATCATACAGGTATCAATTCTGTTGTTCTGAATTTTTTTTTTATGGATCCAGTTCCTCAATTCCACCCCATTCCCTAGCAAGTGTGTGAGTTTCTGTGTGAGAGATGCCTGTGAGAGATGCCTGTGAGAGATGCCTGTGTTTGCACACGAGTGTGTGTTGTAATTGGAGTAGCACCTTAAGGTAACAGAGAAGCAGTTTGGCTTAGCTGGGGTATGTGAATGGAGGGATAGCTGTGACCCTGGTTCCCAGGGAGGACTGGTCTGCCCTCTAATCTCCCTCCTCCCTTTCCCCCTCCTTCATATGCTCCCAGCCCCAGGTTCACTCCTTCAGCTTAACTTCCCCCACTGCAGCTGTGACTTCACCCTCCTTCGTCTGCCATGCACATGGGCTTTGAGTTATGTGCCTCCTGTTCTACTGAGATAAACAACATAGCTCTCATGGGGCTCTGCTCATCCCTGTATCAGCCGAACTCCAGGGCTGAAGGCATTGGCCCTGTAAAGGCACCCTGGTGTCTGTCAGCTGGGGAGGAAGGTGAGGAAGGGGAACAGGAGTCCCCAGAGAGTTCCTGGGCCATTTGCTTGTTGAGATGAGGTGGAGGAGTCCAAGAAGACCTCACAGTAAGGCTCGTTTCTATTCTTGTGGCTAAAGAAGCAGAGAGCAGCCAGGGACATTGCAGGTAGGAGCCTTGTCATGTCATGTGGGTGTGGGGACCAGATGCATCTCTAAGTCAGCTGACTTTTAATAATTACCAGCTGACTTTTGTACAAGGCTTCATGATTATGAAGAGCTTCCTGAATGTAAACTAATCCCCACGGCAGTCCTTATAAGGTACTGTTACTAACAGTAAGTGTTACTAACATCCTTATCTTACAGGTGAGGAGGCAGTCTCAGAAAAATGATATTTCTCAAGGTGACAGGGGATGGTGCAGGAATTACAGGGTGAGAGATAGTACGGTCCTGGAGCAAACCTACCAGAAGCATCTGAACTGTTTCCCAGGGATGCTTTCCCTCGCAGAGGTCAGAACCGGACCCCCACTGGAGGGAGAGCAGGCTTACGCGGTTTGATTAATTTGGCCTTCTAGAAATCAGCATCAGTCTGGTTCCCAGCCCGCAGGGAGCTCCGAGCTCCAGGATCCTCCTCCTGTGCAGAAGCCCGTGAAGTTGTCAACAAAATGAATTATTAAGCATTGGATGACCCTTGCACATGACACGCCCTTAGCTTATAACACCAGGGATTCTCCCGGAGCCTGTGGGCCCCCCTGCCCTCGGCGGATGATGGTTGCTAAGAATCAGATGGGGGTGTGGTTAGGGACCTCCACCTTGTTCACAGCCTTGCAACCTGTGGGAGCAGCTTTGTGACTAAATAGAAAAGTTTTAACTCATAAAGAAAATTTGAAAATTTTATTGCTTTAGTGCTTGGAATAGATGCCTTCGATTTGGACTCAGACCAGTAAATGGATAGCGATGAAAATGAAAAATGAATGGGTAAATAGCAATGAAACTTTTGTTGATGATGATGTTGGTTTTTTGTTGTTTTGCAAAAAGCAAAAAATGAAGCCAGTGTCTCATCTCTTTAAAGGCTCCCAAATGGAAGGCACGTGGACTACAGTCCTGATGTTTTTTGAACCCAATGGTTCTAGGGTTAGGAAGTGACCCTCACGCGCCGCTGGCTGTATCTCACAGTCGTCACTTGCGTGCTTATCTACAGAAGAGCGAATCGTGACCCCAGTTAGAGTAAAACTGGAACATACTCTTTCATTTAATTCATTCAGCAAATGTTCACTTTGATTATTCTGTGCGTCAGGTACAGTTCTGGTTCTGGGGATTCAGGAACAACGAAGTCCCTTTCCTCACCAGTGCCTTCACTCCAGCGGGGGTGGATTGGTTGGCTTGCTGGCGTATTCTGAGGTGCATAAGACGCATCTTCTTAGCCTGGAAATCATCTAACCAGTCTTAAGCCCCTTCTCCCTCTCCCCTTGGCCTCTACCCTCTGCCCTTTTCCCTGGGAATAGACCATATTCCTCAGTGGGGAGTCCATGTTCCTCCAAGGCCTCTGGCTGCCACACTGTGTGTCACAGGAGCCACGGAAGTGTTGCAGGAAGGCTCCTCATGGGTTACTTGGCATGACAGAAAATACTGGCGTGGGACTTGGTGCTGAAGGCCAAATCTAGAAGGAGCCTGTTGTTGGGAGACAGTGTGGTGCAGAAGCCCAGCCACAGGACTCCTTCCCGTTTCTCTGTGTGAGCCCCAGACGGGTGGGCAGGGAAACACAGGTATGCTGGCTCTGCAGACATGGAGCCTGGTCCTCTGAGCGAGGGGTCTTATGTTCTGATGGAGGTTGCACGGGGCTCCCTTGGGCTTCAGCGAGTTCTCAGTAGCTAACTGGATCGGTAGGAGGTCTGGCTTCTTGATTTTGTTTTCTTGTAATGTTTTTTAATCTAGGCTGCCCATACCTGGGTATACTGACTTCTGTTCCACCTTGAAGGGAACCTGTGTGACCTACAGAGGGCTAGTTGATGGGCAGGCAGTAGCTGCAGGCCCACTGCTTTGGAACACTGTGGTGAGGTCGAATCTGGAAAGATCCCTCTTGCGGTCCACAGGCCCTACTGATCAACTGTCCAGGCCAGGAAAATAGAACTGGTTTTGGTAACAGTGATGGCTCTTTTTGTCATGGGCTTTATGAGACAACATGGTGGAGCAGACAGAGCACAGGTCTTGGGCTCAGATGACTTAGATTCTACTTGAACTATACCATACCAGCTGTGACCTTGACAAGTCATTTCACCGCCCTGGGCCTCAGTTTCCTTGCTCTGTGAATGAGGTCATTAGACAAGGTGGTTTCTGAGGCCCCTTCCAGCCTGGAGCCTTTAACCTTTACACACACTGTCTCTGTCCACAGGCCTTGCTCCAGGCCAGCTGTACACGTACCCTGCCCGCTGCTGGCGCAAGAAGAGACGATTGCACCCGCCTGAGGATCCAAAGATGCGGCTGCTGGAAATAAAGCCTGGTCAGTACCATTGGAGCTTGGCTCGCCCCATTGTGGGAGAGGTAGAGAGTGTTGGGCTGGCCCAGGACAAATGGCTTTGCTCTTTTCTCCGTAGCCTGGAGTGTCCCAGGAGAGTAGTCATGCCCACGTGGTGTTCAGAGGTGTGCCAGCTCTCATGTATAAACATGGACATGTGTCCATTGGAGCCTCTCTGCCCTCTGGGTGTCTTCCACCTTCCCCTTCCTTTTGTTTCCCTCTTGCCACTGCAGGGCAGTAGAGTGAGCAGGTCCAGGGTGGATTGCTTTCCCAACAGATCAGAAGGAGCTGTAGCTATTTGGGTTGAGTAATATTTCCTGTGGCTCCATGTAAAGACACCTTGTCCCAGGTTGTGTGTTTGTAAGGAGGGGGTGTTGTGTACTTTCTCCCACCTGCACTGTGAACGAAATTACATGAAAGGGCCATTCACCAAAAGTAGAACCATCTTGGGCATGGAAATGGAAGTTGGAGTTAAAAACTTTGTCTGTAGGTGATGCTCATTGCTCGGTGGCCATGCAGAAGGACTTGGTTGGTTTTCCTGACTGCTGATCTTTCGTTACACTTCTGACTAGATGGTGGTCTTCAGACCTGTGTCTGAGTTACAGCAAGGCCATGTGATTGCCCTGGGTCTTCAGCTTTTAAGGAACCTCTGGTGTTGGGGTTGCCGGGGCTGGAATGTGACTCGGTGGTGAGAATGTGCTGGAGAGTAGAGCAAATGCAGAGCTGACGTGTTCCCTCCCAAAGCTGACGTGATCCCTTTGCTGACCTGGCTCCACAGAAAAGCAGTGCAGACCCAATCTCCTGCCTTTTCACGCACACCATTTGGGCTGTGTTTTCTCTACAAAATTTCTACTTATACGTTGTTTAGAATGTTTTCACTCACAGTTCCATGGGTAAGCCTGCTTTGACTGTGTGCTTCAGCCTAGATGTCACTTGTGTACAAGTTTTATTTGTTAAGGGTGGGAGGGTGCCATATTCTCCAAGCTCTCAGATGGCCTTGCACAACTTACAGACCCTTGCAAACACCCAAGGGTAATGACTGAGGTGGTTCTGACCCCCCCCCCCCCCCCCCAGGTCCCACGCTGCAGGTTGTAGGGGATCCCAGTGTCCTGGAATGGCACAGTCCAATGGAAATCTAATGCGGGCCACATGTGTCATTTTACAGTTTCTAGTAGCCACATTAAGAAAAAGGTAAAATACAAAGCAGACAGTTCCAGTCAATTTTAATAATGGATTCTGTTTAACCCAAAATATCAAAACCATAATTTTAGCATGTAATCAATATAGACATTATAAATGAAATACTTTTCTTTTTTTGTATTCCTTTTGAATTCCTGTTTGTATTTTGTACTATGGTAACTTTTATTGTGGGACTAGCCACAGATCAAGTGCTCATTTGCCACAAGGAGGTAGTGCTGCCCATTTTGGTGAGCGTGGCTCTAGAACTATACTCAAAATATGGTTTTGACCAGCACAGACATTGCTGTGGTGGAGATGTAGGGTCTCGGGCCTCAGTCCAGACCTGCTGAGCCAGAATCTGCATTTGATCCCCATGACTGCGTCCCCAGAATGAACGTTGAGTTCGAGAACACTAGTTTGGAAGACCTACATGGCTGACCACGGGTCAGCATGGCATGACTCCACATCATCTACGTTTCTTTCTAAAGGTCTTAATTATTTACTTTTAGAGGGAGGAGGAGAGGGGGAGAGATAAATCAGTGCGCGAGAGAGAGATCTGTTGGTTGCCTCTTATACGCCCCCAGCTGGGGGGCCTGACCTGAAACCCAGGCGTGTGCCCTGACCAGGAATCAAACTGGCAGTCTTTCAGTTCATAGGCTGGTGCTCAGTCCACTGAGCCTCACCAGCCAGGACATCATTTCTGTTTCTTTATTAAGCATAAACAACTGGTGATGTGAACAATTTTATTTTGGAGGTGGGGCCTCTTCCTTGTTCCAGGTCAGTTGGTCCTGGTGCCTCGGAAGTGGCATGGAGGATGGATGAGGTGATTCCTGGTTCGATTCTTACCCGGACCAGTTGAATCCCACCCCTCCAGGGCTTTGCAGTAGGTGCTGTAGGTGCTGTAGTGAGAAGGTGAGCAGCGCACCAGAGTGGCTGTGTCGGCTCCGAGGGGAGGGCACTGTTCAGGTGTCTGTGGCTCGTTGGACGTGTCTACACGTTGCAGTGTGTGGGCTTTCTGGGTGTATTTACCCATTGGTCAGTAGACACAGTGGTACTTGGGATTCCTAGCTGGCCTTGCAGGTGTATCATGTGGATTAAACGAGCCATATGTAATAGTATGTGCCCTTTCAAACCTTTTTAATTAAAAATTAAAAAAAATTTGACTTGGTAGTATAGTCACGTTTTGACATTCCAGAATATCGTATAGTAGAAAGTAAGACCCATGCTCCAAAGAGGCAGTCAGTGATACCGGCTTTTTGAGATTTTTCCCAGAGGATCTGTGTGCCCTTCCCCTCCACTTTCTACATGCACGACCACCGTGCATTTTGCCCCTTCCATTAAAAAATGGGCCTCAGGCATTGGCCTTGTCCCTATGTGGAGCGCTTCCTCATCCCTTTTTTTTTTTCAATTACACAATATTCCATTATATGAATGTACTATGACTTACTTAACCATGCTGGTCCCAATTTTGTTGCTAGTTTAACCAGTGATGCAGTGAATACTTGGCATGTGTAGGAGGATATCTCACATGTAATTTGTTACTATATAAAGGCATTTTTATAAATACTACTAATTTTAAATGACTAGTCTTTGTTCTTTATATAAAAAGTCTTTGTGAAGGACATTGTATCTAACTAATTGAATGTGATGTATACATACTGGATAAATGTCTTTTATAGAATCACTGACATTTAGTGCTGTAGAATGCCTCAAACAGCATGAACTCCAATTCCTTATTTTACTGAGGTCCAGAGAGGTTAGGAGACTTGCTCCAAGTCACACAGCAGTTCTCTGGAAACGGCAGAGAATCCAGGTTGCTTGATTTCTCTATGTAGTGCTTTTTCTGCCTTCTCAAGCTGCTTTATAGGTATTCTAAAAGAAACTTTAACAAGGCTTTTCCCCCCCGAAAGCTTTGTTTATAAAACAAATGTAGTGATTATGAAAATGCACCCAACAGATAGTTGGAGTTTCTTCTGTTGTAAATGTCAGACATTCTAATCAAACTAATCAAGGTAGCCTACCAAAGAAAGGGAGGTTGGTTCATGTAACAGTAAATCCCAGAGCAGACTAGTTTCAGGCATAGCTGAATCCAGGGGCTCAAGCATTGTAGTGAGGGCTCTGTGTCTTTCTCTTTCCATCTTTAATACTCTTCATGGGGCAAGCTAGGTAGCCACCTGCAGCCCCAGACTCAGCACGTACCACCTCCAGCAGAAAGGTAAGTCCCCTTTGATGGCTGTGCTGGAGAGGTCCCTGGAAGGACTGATAATAGCTGGCTGGGTTTCTGTTCATTTCACCAGTCACGGCTGTCCAGGGCATGGGGCAATCTGATTGGACCATCATCATCATTATCACCAGTGTCTGAATAGCACACTAATTTACCAAGCCCCTCACCAAGCATTTTCATTTATATCACTTCATGGTCCTTAACACCAGGGAGGCAGAGAGAAAGAAGGGGTAAAAGTGGTATATAAACCCTTTTTATAGGTCAGGGAAATCAGGCTGCGGACAAAGCCAGGGAGAGTTTACTGCGCTGCTCACTTATCCGAGAACTGGCAGTCTCACCACTGGTGGGACTGAGGCAAGAAGCTGCTTAGCAGTGTCTTGTCCTTTCATCTCTAGACATTTACACTGGACACCCTGGACTCCCAGCTGGCTTTGGACCTCCCCCACCCTGGGTCCTACTGTGACATATGCAGGGAGGGAAAAGCAAGAACCCCAGGACTGGTGGTTTGCTAGCCAAGTGCCCACAAACACATTGAGTTCCTTTGAAAGTTTTCCTTGGCTTCTGCCCTCATGCTTGGGCAGAGGCCAGGGTGCCTGTTTCAGATCTCAGGTGGTCAGGACCCAGCCCCCGAGATGGCCAGAGTCCTGTGGGAGCACCCTCTCTGGAAAGATAAGTGCCCGCCTTGATGTGGATAGGCCCTGAGAAGTGTAGCTGTATTCAAAGGTGCAAAAACACCCGACTCACTTGGGCTCATCCGTGGCAGGCTTGTCCTAGAGGCCAGTGCGCGAGTTCTGAGAAACAAACAAACAAAAAGCCCCCAGGGCTGGTATATACTTCCCACACACCAGAGCTGCTGCTTAGATGAACTCGTTTTCCCTCTTCGGGCAATCAGACCTACTGCTAAAAGCGAAACCCCGAAGACCTTGGGGCAGATGTTTGTCATTTCCGTGTCCTGTGTTGGGTCTGTACTACCAGGACAGGCCTGGCCCTCAGATGTACTAGCATACCAGTCTGCTAGTGCAAGTTGTGAATCAAGATGCCAGGAGTGTGTCAGGAAGTCGGTGATAGGGAGTCTAAGCCTTGGGCCTCAAAGCATCAGGGCCCATCCAGAGAACAGGAAGTAGAAAGCACAGAGAAATGCACCACGCTCTTAATAGAGGCAACACATGGCTGCATTTGGATTTTTCACACAAGCCAACATCTCAGAAAAGGACCTTCATCCAGGGCCTCCACTGGCCCGCGCGGTACCTTGGAAGAAGGTGTCCCTTCTGGGTGGACAGTTACAAACTGATGCACCTTGTGGTCAGTTAGTACAGCAGGAGCTGGATCTGAGCCCCATCTGTGTGTCTGCCCTCATCATTTATCAAATGCCATTCCCCACTGAGAGATTCTTCCCCTTTTTTGCAGTATGTCCTTCTCAATCACAGGGTCAACTTGGACAGTCTTTTTAAATGACTTTTGTTTTTATTTCATTTGATTTGGGTTCATAGAGGACTCAGTTTTTATGGTTGGTACTTTCCAGTGTGACTCCGGACAGAGTCATGGGTCATCGTCCACAGGGAACTTGCTGCAGATTCCTAGT